GTACCATGGGATAACACAGACACCCTACTCTTGTACCATGGGATAACACAGACACCCTACTCTTGTGCCATGGGATAACACTGACACCCTACTCTTGTACCATGGGATAACACAGACACCCTACTCTTGTACCATGGGATAACACAGACACCCTACTCTTGTACCATGGGATAACACAGACACACCTACTCTTGTGCCATGGGATAACACAGACACCCTACTCTTGTACCATGGGATAACACAGACACCCTACTCTTGTACCATGGGATAACACAGACACCCTACTCTCGTGCCATGGGATAACACAGACACCCTACTCTTGTACCATGGTATAACACAGACACCCTACTCTCGTACCATTGGATAACACAGACACCCTACTCTTGTGCCATGGTATAACACAGACACCCTACTCTTGTACCATGGAATAACACAGACACCCGGCTACCTTAGATAACTGTTATGTAAACTTGTTAAATTTGCACTCTGCGGCCTATCTTTATAAACTGATACGCCGGTTACTCTGTGTTATTCATTGTTGTGTAATTGTGGCAAAGTTCTGTTTATGAATGTGGTCATGGAACGAAAGTAGGGGTCCATTATGTTTGCGCCACCGTACCCGCATATTTCATTAAGCTTTTACATTTCCATCCAGTTATTCTGTTTTTCTTTCTGCTTGTTTGAAAACAGATTTGCTTAAATATGTTTTCCTTCTCCTTCTTCTCTTTCGCAGTTAGTTTAACATAACCTCGAGAAAGGTAGATTATCATGGATACAATATACCACAATCCATATATGGACCATAAGCTCAAGCAAATCTATTTTAATCCTGGAAAAGCTTGGTTCAGACATCCGAACATCATTACTTCATTCAATCCCTAAAGATCCTAAAGTAATACGCAGTATTTTAGTTAGTGTGAAGAAAATTCATTTAAAAAACCCTTTGAATAAGAAGCTAAAAAAAAAACAATATTATAAAAACAATTTTAAAACAATCTAAACAACTGATTGTATTGTCATCGCTACCAAATACTTTATTAATCTTTTGTTTTCCCCCCAGCTATTATGCTCATTCTTTGAAGTTAATAAAGCAGCTGTAATCTTTGGCTTAAAATGTATACAGCTAAATATATAAGTTTTATTCTACTTTGGATAGAAGAAAGATCGTTACTCTTAAAATATTCGTAAAAAGTTGTTCTCTTTTTCCTCAATCCATCTTTTTCTACTTCTCAGTTCTTCATTATGGTCTTCTTCTTCTTCTTCTTCTTCTTCTTATTCAGGGAGTCTTCTTCTATTCTTGTTTATCGTATCAGCACTCAGCGTGAAGCTGTAAATTTAACACCAACCTCTTCAAATTTAACTAGTCTTTATATTATTTACGCATTCTTTGAAAGTAATAGCAGTTGTAATCTTGGGCTGAAATGTATGTAACTAAATGTATAAGTTTTACTTGACTTGGATAGAAGAAAGATTGTTAGTCTTAAAATATTCGTGTATATAATAAAAAGTTGTTCTCTTTTTCCTCAATCCWTCTTCTTCTTCTTCTTCTTCTTCTTCTTCTTCTTCTTCTTCTTCTTTTCTTCTTCTTCTTCTTGTATTATTATCGTATTAGGTCTCAGCGTGAAACTGTAAATTTAATATAACTACCTCTTCAAATTTAACCGAAATTTTCTGAAAGCAAAACAACTTATAAGTTCGCAAAACAATACGCGAGTGCATGTTTAGTATATGAAATTCACAAAGGAATGCTGGTTCCCAGCCAATCCCTTGACGTTATCCATATATGGAAAAGTGTATTTTTAACCATAGAAAAGCTAAGTTCAGGAATCCAAAAATCATTTCTTCAGTCGGTGGAGAGCCTAATTCTGATTGACTATTTTCTGCATAGGATATATACAGATTGAGGGAAAAAAGATTTTACAGACTGATTCAGATCAATCACAGAGTTCGTGCCGACATCTAGTGGTGCATTATGAAGAGAAGCAAACCAACCTTTACATATTTTGTTAAACTGGGAGTCATTTTCGTTTTGTCGTCAGCTTCAGGTAAGGCTTATCATAAACTATTTGTCCAGGCACCTTGGCATAAGACCCTTTTCCGCCACGGTACGTTATTTCGTTTCTTAAAAAAAATCTAAAAGAAAAAGAAAAAGAACTGAAATAACAAATTTTACGATTTCGGCTTCCCCTATCTAGCTTCGAGCATAATGCTAGAAACACTTTAAAATATTTTTTGATTATTCAATCTGCAAAAATTAAAAATGTCATGGAATTATTAGACAAAAATTTACCTTTTTTTTCATGCCTTATGACATTAAAATAACGAAAAGAAAAACTCGCTTCTATAGTAAGTCGCTTTTCTTAAATACTATAGATTTGGTCGATAGTTAGAGTTGCAATATATTTTTGACTCTACTTTCTGTGTTCAGTAAACTCTCGTTACAGCGGACACCCTCGGACCGTCACTTGGTGTCCGTAATAACGAGCGTCTGCAATTATTTAAATTATTTACGGTCATTTCTTTGTCAGTGTTTTTGTTGGTGAATTTTCTCCTGTCCGTAATAGCAAGGTGTCCATAAGACGGGTGTCAGCAAGCCGAGAGTTGACTGTACCGATAAACATCACTTGAAATTCTATAGTGAAAAAAGTTTATGTACTAATAAAAAAGAGAATGTCCAGTTTTTAGCGCATTTAAATCATTTATAAACCATAAGTTCCTCTTTAGAATTCTAATTCAACCTCACTTAAAAGCCTAGAAAAATCTACTATCATGAAGGAGTTTATGGATCGCAAAAGTTCAAATGCCCTATATTCCTCATTAAAAAGTTGTGAAGAAACACGCCGGACATCTTAAGAAAAACTAAACACTGAATCTCCCGTCTAATAAAGCAAGCAGTTATATAATCTTCAATTGTAAGCTTCAATTTCTTAAATTTCTTTGGATAAATCTTTGTTGTTAACCGTGAATGGAGGGGCTCATGAAAAGGCGCCTCTTTATTGAGAGCAAAAAGGATTTTCTTTGAGATTGTAATGTGATTATTCAAAGAGGAACTTGTTTGGTACTGGAAACTATATAGTAAAACGTGGGGGAAAAGWWAGAARRRRAGAAAGAAAGAAAGAAAGAAAGAAAGAAAGAAAGAAAGAAAGAAAGAAAGAAAGAAAGAAAGAAAGAAAGAAAGAAAGAAAAAGGAAGGAATGAGAAGAGAAGGAAAAAAAGATGAATAGGCAGGTAAATAATTTTTTATAAATTTAAATCTCATTCAACATTCATTATTTTAATGACTTTCCTCTTTTATTTGTTTCTTGAAGTTGCGCTGGTAACGGGATGCAAAAATATATATTGGCTTCCAGAGAAGTCTGGCAGCTATCTTCGTAATCACACCATCCAGAACTTGACCGTCTCTTCACAGTCCATGTGTAGAATCATGTGTTATCTCAGTAACTCTTGTTTATCTTGCAACTTTCATGAGAGTACTAGCGCGTGTGAGATCAATGATTCCGATGAATTCCAGCATCCTGAAGATTTGATCCCCAAGCATGGCTATATCTACACAGGCTCCGAGGTAACTATATATTATATATTTAAAAGTCACACAATGTTTTGGACCTCTTTGGTTTTCTGTTATCATTTCTTCGAGCTAAGGATTTGCAAAGAGGGGGGTAGGGTGGGGGACTGCGGGGTAAAAGTATCCGGTATGCTCAGGTATTTTTTCATAATGTCACTTAAAGATGTTTTATTTGCTTTGCATTTGCTATTTGCTATATTTGCTTTAAGCATTGTCTCTGGGGATTCCTTATTGGTCAGAGTTGTAGTGACTTACAATGCGAGCGAAAAATGTTTAGTTTCCGAAGAGAAAAATGTCATAATCACTGAGACAAAGTTGAAATTAAGCTATCATGCGCTCTTCATAGGTGAATTAAACATCAAACTTAATTAATAAAAAAATGTAAAAGGACATCGAAGAAGATCAAATCAGGATGGTTTTCAGTATACGAACAAGCTAAAAACAGCGAAGACGCCAGGAAAGTTAATCTATAAAATAGCGTTAAAAAATAGCGAAGAACCTACAGTGAAGACAGTGTGAAAAACCATTTATCGTAGCGTTTTCCATAGTAAACAAAGTTTAAGTTCAAGTTATTAAGAAGATGATGAACAAGACGAGTATTTTGTTTCAAACGCGAATCAAAACAAACTATTTGCACGCAAATGTACTAAGGCGCTTAAATGATTTTTCACATTTTTAAAATATGTTTAGCTTGCCAAAAACGGTATGTCACTTTCTGCAAAAGTCCATCGAGAAAAGGTGAATTGATAACTGTAAAAAGTCAATTTGACTATCAAAACTCAACGTTTAGGTATTTTATCATAACTTGTCAACTCTAAAGTCCCCAACAGACAATAGAAATACAATCGCAATATCGGCCAAGTACAAAAATCGAATCAAATTTAGTATTTGAGTATTCAAACCCAAAAAAATTTTTTTTTACCTGCTTGAAGGACATTTTACGTGCTTTTTTCCCCCTCTAGATACTCTCAGTTCGGCGTATTTGTGCCTTCATGTTTAATTCTTCTATTCCGAGCAGCTCGACTGTTTTCAGCTATCTTAAAACCTCTTCATTTAACTGCCTGCCTGCCTGCCTGCCTGCCTGCCTGCCTGCCTGCCTGCCTGCCTGCCTGCCTGCCTGCCTTCATGTCTCTCCATCTCATTAACTCTTTCTCTTTTTATCAGAATGGTTGTCAAAGCAATCCGTGTCCTAGCAACAGCACTGGTTGCCAAGCAGACTTCACCTTAGAAGGAGGATACAACTGTTTGTGTCCTAGTGGCTTCACAGGTCCCAGCTGCAATACAGGTTGGTAATCCTTTGCCAAAAAAGGCTTTACATCATCACGTGCCGGCGACCATAATACAGCTTGGGCTGCCTGTGGTTAGATGGCAGAACTAAAATAAGCAAGGGACAAGGAGCGAGCTCAGAAGAATGCTGGACCTGAGTTTAATATCTCTTTAAACGGTGAAAATTTTAAGTTACGGGCGTGAACTGTAAATTGAAATGTGAAAGTAGAATATATGTTCTTATTTATCCATTCCATTTGCAATAATTGCAGATGTTGACGAGTGTACCTCTGGGACCCATAACTGTTCAAAATCCAGCAAGTGTGAGAACACTAGAGGGTCTTTCCAGTGTTTGGCTATACGTAAGTATATCTTAAGTTAGACAAGAAACTTAAAAAAAAAGAGATGCCAACCATTAATTGGAATCAATGAAAATATAAAACTCATGAATTATTGTGTCACTGTTAACAAGCAAGTATTAGCAACGTTATTTTTCCCCAAGTGGTAAACTGCAAACTTGTGATTTCAAGAGGACAAGTGACGCCTCAATTTTGCAAATTTTCTCCATTCTGATTGGCCCTTTGCAGCTAAGCAATCACGTGCTGATTAATTCACTGAGAGCAAATGAATGAACATCTTAATTCCCATGGGTGAAATTTACTGGACTGCAAACAAACTTTCTACAACCTGTTTCGAGAGATCGCAATAAAACTACATTTCGTAACACACTGGACACACATGTTTTCATTCAGTTCTTTACAAGTAGCTAAAAAGAATCACCAATGTAATATAAAAACAAAAATTTTGGAGTCCAGTACAGACACGTGACCGTTAACTGCAAAGGGCCTATTGGCTTATATTTTTTCTCAGATTATCCGGCTTATTAAACGTGAAAAAAACTCAACAAAATTGATGATAAATCAGAAAAATCTAAAGTATATACTTAGCAATTCTACATTATGGTCGATTTGTTCAATAAAAACTTTAATTATTATAAGTGAAAGTGTAATCGACTGAATATTTGACTGAATATTACAGCTCAATTTGGAGGACAAAACAATAGGTTTCCAATTTTCAGGAGATTGACATTCTTTTGTTTTATCCTGCAAAATGAGCTGCATTCCGACATCACAAGCAAGGGGTCTATAGACCTGCTTTGACATCACATGCAAGGGGTCTATTGAGCTGCTTTGACTTCACATGCAAGGGGTCTATAGACCTGAAGCAAATAAACCAGAAAGAAATAAACAACAACTTTCTTTGATAGTTTTTCTTGCTTAACCAGAGTCCAGATTTTCAAACTCACAATTATCATGATATTTTTATATAGGAACCAAAGAAAACCCCGCCACGTCATGCTTGAATATCTTGGAAGCTGGCCACTCCATTGGCACTGGCGAGTATTGGATCGATCCAGCTAACACAGGAACCCCAATCCCGGCTTATTGCGACATGACGACTGACGGAGGTATGTTTGGACTATACAGGTTATCTCGGGGAATGTGCACAAAGGATTGTTGTAGTTGATCAGGTTGTCCTAGTTTCAGTTGTTTATCGGCGAACAAAGATAATTTCAAGTAAAAAAAATTGGAAAATAGAGTTTAAATTTATCGTATTACATAGCTTAAGAGAAAAGAGAGAAAGAAAGAAAGAAAGAAAGAAAGAAAGGAAGAAAGAAAGAAAAAAAGAAAGAAATAGAGAATACCTCAAGTCTCGAGAAGTGGCTATTCAAAGGGCTCCGTGGAATATTCGTTAGATCCAATGAACAATGGAAAACCGATCAAAGTTCTTTGCGACATGACAACCGATAGAGGTGACCGATGGCGAGATATTGCGGAGAGGGTATCTTGTGACATCTTACTTGGTTTCTAGTCTTAAAATTATCCTATAGGACATAGATGCAAATTAAGCATTTGTTTTTWAAAAAAATATTAATTTCGACTTTCAGGTGGTTGGACTGTGGTCACGAAGTTAGTCCAGCCAAGCAACACTATATTGCCTGCACACCAGCCATCAACCTGTGAGGTCATCAAAGAATACAACAGAACAGACGTGAACGTCTTGCCTATGGGAGCCGCCATGTTGGATATCAAGAACAAGATGGGATTCAACCAGATTCATTTCTATTGTCGCAAGGTATCTGTCGGTAGAGTAGTGAGCATCATGACCAAAAACAACACCGCTGGACATGAGGTAGTAAAGTTCTTTACAAACGCAGGTGTAGCCTCAGTACGCCCTGCGGCTTGTGGTTCGTTTGATACACTGCCTGACGACACGTCAATCCTTAGCGGAAAATGCAGTGAATGGGGTGATACTCCGGCCAATGAGTGGGGAGCATCATGCTGTATGGGTCCCATGAGACTACCTGCTCTGGCTTGTCACACAAGTCGATCACACGGTTTCGAATTTTTCAAATATTATTCGTGCGACAATGAAGTTCCGGATSGCTCTAGTAATGCAGTGCTACCCGATGTGAATGACACGTGGCGAATATCTGTGCGCTGATTACATATTATTTGATCTATCAATATTACTGCCACTAGGGATAAGCAAAACATCCATAATTTCGGTCAAACGTCACAGTCAGCACAGAAAATTACAGTAAAACTATTCCAGAAAAAAAGTACAGACAAAGCTAAAGAAAATTCCATTTTATCGCATATTTCGATACCTTTATCTCTTAATGCACTTTGCATTTCCAGCTTGGTAAGCTACATGGGAACATTTAAAAAAAATCTTCAACAACCTTTTTTGAAATGGCTGTTACAAYAATCTCTTGCATTTACCAATGTTTACTATTACCATTAATATTGCTTTTAATATGCTAATATACCCATTGAAAATACCACCAACTTCTTCTCCTGATCACGAAGAAATAGTGGCATTTAAAAACAATTATAAGGATACAGTAAAAACCCGCATAAAAGAACAAGCGGGTTAAGAACACCCAGCCTGAATTTGGGCGTTTTAAGTACCATGTAAATAAGAACACAATCAGCCTGAAATATCAAAAAGTGTTCTTAAAAAACAAAAATCACTATTAAATGCCTCCTCATCAGTACTCATGTATACACTGATGGGGGGAGAGTTTAGATTACAGTGTTACTAGTAGCAGACTCCAAGCCTGACCTGACAATAATTATTTTTCTACTGTTTTGATACAGTTATTATTGCAGTCAAGATTTTTTTAATAACATTTTTGAACTTACACATTGATATCATCTACATGTATTGGTAGTGTGGCTATATATAGCAATACTGTTATATATTTTAGAAACATTTATTTTAAGAACACCTTAAGAACACCTTCAGGCTGATTTTTCAGTAAACACCCGTTAAATAAGAACAAAATCAGCCTCAACTCCAAAAATGGGTGTTCTTTTATGCGGGTTTTTACTGTATCTTATTTAAGTCTCAGCAGGAATTAAATCATTTTATATAGTGTAATTCTTTTATTAACATAGTATGTATTTTAGCTTTTACATATTTAATTACATAATCTTTTGATATATATATCTTATTCTTAGATTTTTACAACATTTAGGGTTTGGGTTAGCTTTAAAGTGCCTATCAACCATTCTGACAATATTCAGAGTATAAATTCTACATGGTGTAAGATGTTGAATAACGCTAAAAATATATATATAGTTTTTAAACTATAACTTAAAAGTGTAACTTCTTGAAGTCTTAAAGGTATGAGAAGTAATCATTTAATATACAAAACACTACTGGTACAGATAAATGAAATTTGAAATACGTCATTGTTTTCCCCATTGCTCTTATAGAAATGATTGCAAATTAGTTTTCCCATAGAAGCCGGTGTTTCGAATTACGAGGAACAACAAATGACCATAAATGCCTCCTCATACGTCACAGCATTAGCATATGACATGGAAAAGCCTTCATAACTTCAAGAAGCCGCACTCAAACTCAAACTCAAGTCAATCCAATGGGTTTTGATAGCTTAAGGTGCCTCGGTATTTCCAAATGGCCGAATGGCTTATGTCGATTTTGGACTCATAACTTTTGCGCCCTTTAAGCAATTGCCATAAAACTTTACCAACATCTAAATCAATCATTTAGTTATAATATGGTATATTCTGATTGCATTTCAGGTTAATAATTTGTAAGATGTAAGCGATTAAGCAGCACTGTTTTCACAAAAACTCGATTTTGCGAAAAATCTGTCCGTTTTATTTCGACGAAAATTTTGGGATCCTTTTAGATAAACATGACACACAACCTGGCCAAGTTTAAAGAAATTCCTTGGCGCTGAAATACCGCTACAGAAAGCTCACCTAAATTCACCATTATGATAATCTTTTAAAGTTGTGAACTAAATAGTCTTTGACTAAACATGCTTGAAAGCCATAGTTTTTAAAAAGTAACGGCAATTTAACATATATCCAAATGTCATACCGCGACTGCCAACAGGCTGACAGTTTCAAAGTATTTTAGAGTAAAGTTAATGTAATAAAAAGCCCAAATACCTGCTTAGGTCCAAGAAGTTGCGTTTTCTTCAATTTCTTCGTGGTTATCCAGAATTGTTCAGTCATAATTTGCCCACATGAATTGCTTGTTAGGGGGTGTCTCAGAAACAATATAGAAAAAAAATTATTTTGGATGCTATGCATGAAATTAAGACCGTCTCAAACACCCCCCTAACAAGCGTGTGAATTGTTGACATATTTTACACCTTATGCTCATTTCGTATTCAACAACTAATCAGCAAAGAGCTTCGACTGAGCTTCGACACGGAACAGTGTTCGACCCAATACGTTATTTATCTTATTCAAAGCGATAAACAGCAGCTAAATTCGATGGTAATTCATCACAGTACTATACCTTGAAATTTATGTGGGCAAATTATGACTGAACAATTCTGGATAACCACGAAGAAATTGAAGAAAAAGCAACTTCTTGGACGTAAGCAGGTATTTGAGCTTTTTATTACATTAACGTTAGTTTAAAATACTTTGAAACTGAAAAAAAAAAAWAAAGCCGAACAGCTGTATCAGTTTCAAACTTCAGTAGTTCGTCTTCCCTCTGAAGCAAGGTCGTTAAATTTACCAACGTAACCTCGATAAAAAGACATACGAAATAGACTAACGATAGCGTTACGAAAATCTTTTTTAAAAAGTCCATAGAAGAACACGTTAATGGCAGAGTTTAAATGAAGAATTAAGAAAGAAACCTTGCTTAAAGTGGCATCGATAGAAGGCACACCTATAACATATCTTAACCATGCACGATAAATAAGAACTAGATATGAGATAACAAAGAATCCAATGATGCCCCCGAGGAGTCGAATCATCCTGTTGTTTTTCTTGTATCTCTCTGTTTCTTTACTAAGGTGGTAGTTGTGTTGAAGCTGATTTGTTTGTCTTTTAATCCGAGATTGGTGAAGTCGGACGAAGTACAGTATACGGACGTAGGCCACTGGGAGAGCAATACATGGAAAGGCAATAAAGGATAACAATAAGAATATATGGTAGCTCTTTGCGATCGTTCCTTTGCTCTGTACACACATATGGATGATAAAATCGCCGAGCGAAAACACAAAAGCCAACATCCAAGCAGTTGCTATCGTTCTAACCACGTTTTTCTTCTTTTTCAAGAATATATGTTTTATGGGATGAATGATAAACACGTAACGGTCCAATGTCAAGGAACATAGATTCGTCATTGAAGCATATAAAAAAAAGTCATGAGCAAAGTTTACAAAATGGTTCTCGTTGGGACGATGACGGTATAAAACTTCGAATACAAAATGTAAAGGGAATAAAACCGCTCCAACACAAAAATCCGCAACGGCTAGCGACAGGACGAACCAATTTTGCGTTTTCCGTAGAGATGATTGCTTTAGGATGAGCAGAATCACGAGGAGATTTCCAAGTACGGTTATAGCAGCTATTGCTCCTCGTATCCACCAGAAACAAGACTGCCCCTCGCGTGAACCAGCTTGAAAATGAGAAAAATTGGAAAGATTTGCCATTCTGTGTCCCGTCCCGTTGGATGGAAGAGAACGTACCATCCACTCATTGATAACTACACTTGCCGACTAAAACATATGCTATAGAAATGACAAAGCAATACTCTTTTAAACTTAGTGCTATAACATGTTTGTATTCTTCTTAAACAAATAATAAACTCACTTCCGATTGGCTACTGACAACATCATTATCTTAGTGTTCTGAATTGCGAATAAATTTAAACATATTAACAAAGCACTTGTTTTTTCATTTGTCTTCTGCTGTACTAAACACAAAGGCTCCAAAACATGAACAGAACACCATACATCACTCACACTCAAGGACTTTAAATTAAAAATATAATCATTTTAGTAATAAGTTATTCCTTCATTTACTACTTTAATAACCTTTTCTCCGAAACAGAGAAGAGTATATCCGATCATTTCAAGCTGTCATATTATTCATCGGTGTTTATTTTACGACAGATGTGCGTCCTAAAATCCACTATACCCGCAACTTTTAATAGAAAATTGAATGAGTAATTTCATATATATTTTAAAAAGACAGTTTATTGGAGTATTTGGCGATAACGAGGGTAATGTATTACAGGATATAATCCAKAACTGAAAGTGTGGTAGAAAATAGCATTTTATTCTCTAGGAAGGACGACTGCCCAAAACGTCAAAAAAACGTGCTTCCTTTTCTTGCGTTTATTTCCGGCTTGATGTTAATGGCTTAGCACTTCTTATCCTGCAGCGATAAAAGAAGGAATCTTCCTAGAGACGTTATCATATTGCGTCATGATAGGGAATTTGGATTGGATCTCAATGGACAGGTTAAAAAATATGTTTCCCTTAATTGTGGACTCACTAGGCGTAGTCCACAACGAGGGAGTCCACAACATATTTTGATGGCTAGATGAAGAAAAAATTAAGTGGTAAATAAGAGGACCACGGAAAACTAGAGAAAATTGCCCTATTTCACTGCTTGTTTACGTGGGGGATAGAATCGCCAAATCTAATAGAAAATTCAACAAACCTTGCTCCTAGCGAAACAGTTTAATCTAAAATGGCCTGGTTTTTAGATATAGAATGTGTTAATATGTACTAAAAAATATTCTGAAAGTTTGCTGGCTATTCTACTTCTCTTCGTGGATTGATACGGGTTTTAGAACAATTGTCGGTGAATTTGGGTTGATTTGACCCCCTCCGACGACCATGATCCTTTGCGTTTAAGCAATAGATTGTTTTGGTGTGACGTCATAGTGAAATAGGGCAATTGGTTGATTGTTATACATATAATGATTCGATATATACCTTTTGAAGAGCACCTTTTTTTGTCATCAATTCATTATGAGATGTATTAAGCAGATTCCGAGTATTATCGACTGATGATCGAATGTACTAAAAAGATGTTTTTCATCCCACGTCTTCACCGAACTACTTAGCCTTCGTAATATTTAAAATACCAACTAGAGGGTCTGTTTTGGAGGTCCATATGTCAGTCACTAGTAGTTAACATTTCGATTGTTTGTCAGTTGCGAGTTAAAATTTACAGGCTTATTTGTCAGTTGTCAAAAAACTCCACATCCAAACGGCCTCATATCAAATGATCGATTGATGGTTCTCGGATGGTTTTCGGACAAGGACTTAAAACCGTACGTAGTCCCCGTATGTCTTCACTATATAACCTGTATAATGCGGACATAAAAGATCCACGTACTGAAGACGCTGGTGACGACCATCTTCAGTGCACGTGCTAAACACAAGAGGGCCACAAGTTAATCAGTTACCAAAATTACTGTCACGTGTTATCCTTATTAAATAATGTCTTCAATCAATCAATCAATCAATCTTATCTTTCTTCAAACTCCTGACAACTTTTCCATTTTTTAATAACTTGAACAATTATAAAAATATTGATATTTTTATTTTCAAAACCTTATATTAAAAACTTATCAATCATCTGAAAAAGATGCTCATAACATATGAGATAACATACACTGATCATATACAAGACACACTTTTTGACGTCATAACAGGGAAGCTAACGTCAATACATTATCAATATTACTCCATAAGAGAAGTGATGTTTTAATAAGACGATATTAGAGATAGATTATCTTATCTGCTATCATAATATCCTTAATATAGAAGGCACTACTGGCTTTTCAGTGAGTTAAAACATATTCTTTTTTCTGTTTAGTTCTTTCCTTTAATTTTTACGCGGAAGGCGTTATTGTTTACCGTGCACGTTCAGCCTTCCGCTTTATGAAGTATGCTCATTTTGAGTCTTGACTTGAAAAGATTTCGTAAAGTGGTTGAATGCTAGTCGAAAATAAAAGTAATCACATTGGCTTTTTATGGAAAAGACTTATGCTCTTTTGTCATACATTTCTTACAACAAGGACACTCCGGAACCATAGACACGTCCATTTTTTCCTTCAGATTATTATTTTTTACTGAACTTTATATTGAAACCCTCTAAAATGAAGCATTTAGTTCAAATACACTGAGTAATCGAAATAAATATCATTTCCAATCGATTTGCTTAACATAAATATAAAGAAAATCGTTTAATCTTAAAATATCAAAACCTAAAACTGAAGTTGGAAGACTAACTTTTAAGCACAGAGCTGCAGTTGCATGGAACTCTCTCCCGGATCACATTAAGGGAGCTTCTAGTGTATCATGTTTTAGAAACAAACTAAAGAAAAAAAAACCCTAGATTCTATATCTTATATTAAGGAATCATGCATGACTGACGGGTGAAAATGAGGATTTTGTCTACTTTTGAATTATAATTTTTGCTTGTATATTTATTTATTTATCTTAATATTACAAATATATATATATATTAATTTATTTATTATCTATATTCTATTATTGAATATTTTTATTATATATATATATATATAATATTATATTATATAATTTTATGACTAGAATTTCATTTATGTGTGTTTTGTAATAATTTAGCTGTCAATTTTATATTTATGTTTGTATATTTAGATTATGCAGGTCCACATCAGGACTCTCTTGTCTTGCGTATTTTTTATGACCTGCTTTATCAAATAAACGATATGTGTATGTGTATGTGTGAAGATATAATTTACAGTATGCTTTTAAAATGGCGACAAAATGTTAAAAATGCTCACGCTTCGAGTGTCCTATTTATTTTTCTCCTTTTTCTTTTCCCCCGTTTTCCTTTGTCTTTTTTTTTTTTTTTTTTTTTTTTTTTTCGTTTAATCTGTCTCTTTCTTTTCCTTTTTATTAATCTTTGATCGCAATCATGAATATCAGATTCAGTCCTTATTCATCTTCCGTCCCAATGACTATCTACAGGTATGACCTTTATACAGTCAATGTCATTAACGTTGTCCACCAAAAATAGACATTTACACATTTACACACAAAGTGAGCCTGAACTATAAATGTAAAATTAAACTCGTGAATCAAAAATCCAGAATGCCCCGACCATTTAGTGAGGATTTAAGAGGGAGAATTGTACTTCAGCGTTTGTTTTATGCCAGAACGTTCGAGGAAACACGTGGTATTTCTTTTAGTTTAAATGTGTAAATGTCTAAATGTGTAAATGTCTTTTTTCGGTGGACAACGTTAATGAYATTGACTGTATATTGAATAGAAAACATATGTTGAATATTAATACGATGAAGTTAATAAGAAATTTTTTTTAGCGTCATACAATGAATAAAAAATTTCCATCAGATACGTTTTACTCTTTCTTCTCGGAGACTTCAGCTTAAATTGTTTGCCGAACGGTGAAATATGATAATCCAACGGCGATATCTCTTGATATTCATACATTCTTCTTGATATTCATCGATAAAACACAGATGCAACTTTATTAGCATATATCAGGAAGTGAATGTCAATATTCACAATTTGGTAGTCTTTTTCTCAGCAGAAAAAAACGACCGAGACGGATCTTTACCCCTGGAAAATAGCTCACAAAACATTTTCCAAATTTCGGCGCGAAAATCTTTTTTAAAAAGACCATAGAAAAACACATTAACGGCGGAATTTGCATAGAGAAGCAGAAAAGATATTTTACTTAGTAAAGATGTGTTTGTAGCTTCGTTTAGATCGATATACTTAAGCCAAACACGGCTGATATCAACTAAGTATGAAAGTACAAAAAATCCAATGACTCCACCAAGAACACGTATCATGGTTTTATTCTTTTTATATCTTTCTTTCACTCTTCTTGTTGGATAATTGTGCTTCAACTGGCTCTTTTGTTTCTTTATCTGTTCTCGTTGGCGTCGGGCAAAATATATGATATGAAGATAGGCCAACGTCAAAGCCACACAAGGGACTATTTCTAAGAATATCAGTAAAAACATAATATAGTATCTCTTTATGAGTGCGTCTTTGACAAAAAGATTCAACAACAGGAATATTAAAGGAAATAAAAACGCGATAAACCAGGCTGTTAGTATCAACTTGATCACGTTATATTTCTTTTTCAAGTAGACGTGTTTTAAAGGATACATTATTGACAAGTACCGGTTTAAAGTCAAGACACAAAGGTTTGTCATGGAGGCTTTGAGGAGAAAGTAATCCACTACATTGACAAAGTAGTTCGATGTTGGACGGTTTTGGAAAACGACTTCGAATACCAAGCGTAATGGAAATACTACAGCTCCAACTAGAAAATCAGCCACGGCCAGGGAGAGTACGAACCAATTAGGTGTTGTACGAAGAGATGAACGGGTTAGGATTAGAAAAATAACCAAGAGGTTTCCGAGGACCGATGTTACAGCAGACACGCCGTGAAACCACCAATACCAAGGCAGCCCTTCTTTTAAAATTTCTCTATTCGTAACGTTTGAATTCTCAGCCATTAGCATTCTGTCTTTTGCAAAGTATGCTATTGAGCCATGGGCATCACGTTACATGGATATTTTCGGTAATGATTTGGGAAGTATACTGATACTGTAGGGTTTTCTAGAAATTATAGTTTCCTTTGCAACTGACTAATTTTTATTTAAATTTGGTTAACCTCATACATCAAACTGCACGTCCTCATTGGTTAACTTTAATCACATGATGGGTATCTTAGGACAATACGGAAGCTATCAATAAACCTGTCCAGTGCAAGTAACATTGGAGAAACTCGACTCAAGGTGTGATTATGGAAATCTTTTACTTTCTGCATTTGCTGAAGAAAAAAGAGAAGTAACGGTTCCCTCGGGGGAAAAAATCTATTAACAAATGGTCATCTACGATTTCAAGCTCAAGCAAATTCTCAAAAACACGGTTTTTGAATATTTTCCGAAAATAATGACTATCTAGGCGATAAAAACATAAGTGGATCAGTACAGTTAATTCAATTATTCAAGGACGGTATTATAAGTTGGGATCGAATAGCGGCTTTGCACCATCACGTGACGGCAGCCATGTTAGATGGCAGGAATAATACAATCGTTTTACATGAAAAAGAACGATAGCTAAACGCTTTCCCATTTCGATGTCCAATAAGCAATTAAGGTATACCATGGTTAAATGGCTTCACATTTTGGTGCCCCATTACCAAAAAGTAAGATTATAGGGATAAAATTGAACCATGGTTAAATGGCTTCTCATTTGGGTCCCCCCCCCCCCCCCATAACCAAGATAAGGAGTCAAGGGTACCATGGTTATATTGATCACGATATTTTGCTAAACCTCGCCAATAAATGCTTATATCTCAACAGTTACCTCTCTGTTTTTAAAGAGAATTATAATAACAAATACTATGCATTCCAGTTATCCTTGAACATTTTAATGGCCTATATCTCTGATAGCTTATCACCTATCGCCTATCGCCTATTTCCTATGGCCTTTGGTTCCGACAACCCACCTTTGAAATAGGTGTATTTCTTGATAATGTTCTAATGAGTTTAAATGATTTAAATGGTACGTAAATTTGCTGCAGGTATTTTTTTCTTCTACCTTTTAAAAGACAAGAGACAATGGATCTACCTAGCTGAGTCTCACCATGTTTCTTTTCTAGGAAAAAAATATTAAATGCGAAATGGAAAAACAGTTTTTCTAAACAATATCCTTTATAATTATCGATAAATTGAATAATTATTAGTGTAGGTAATAGGACTACATGCTGTCCAATTTGGAAATTTGCTAATGGAAACGATCCAAATTAATCTTTAATTTGGACAGGAAAGAGAATTTGAAAATAATATACAACAGCTGCTTATATGGGATTATTGAGTGATGATACACTATCACTAACACAGGAAATGATGAGACCGCGCGCCTAGCTGGGTCTAGATTAAATATACGTAAATTTTGTACATCATTTACAAACAAGATAAGTTATTTATTTTATTAATAAGTTGAATAATAATCGCAAACAATCAACAATCAATTACTGTTCGAGCATTAATTGTTTGAATGGTAAGTATTGCGCATGCGTGCAGTGTAAACGACTGATTAACCGTATATATTCAACAAGCGAAACAACCAAACCAGGAACCTGTTTGACCGGATTTACCAGATTGTACATCTGTCCACAGGATTCATGCCACTGTTTGGTTTACACTTAAAAACTTCAGAAAACCTCTCGAAGTTGGACAGTGGACCAAGAATTCTATCAACAAAGCAAAATACAAACATGTAACTAAAGTTAGCTATAGGCTATTCAAGCAATAATGGGTCCATATGGGTACTAAAGAAAACACTTAGGGGATTTCAGTCTCTTGGTGTGCGAGACGACTACTGGGCCGGATTGTTAATTTGCGATGTGTTCACTATGCATGCCAATGCTTCGGCTTTGACAACTGTATTCTGGGTTGGATCCCAGAATCTGCCATCATATGTAAGTGACACGAGTGAAAAAAAGTGTCCGCATGCTCTAAGTCCGTATGCAAATTAGTCGAAAACGTTCTTCGTTTTGTGCTTTGCACTACCACGTGATTGCAGCCATTACAGGAGGCGCCAGAAATAAGTGAATCTGGACTAATGTGATTTACACGACAAATATTTCAGAACGACTCTATTGATATGCCTCCTGTCATGGCTGCCATCACGTGATGGTGCAAAGCCTCTATTATATAAAATGAAATTTGACTTTGAAACTGAAACTTGCCTGACAAATGTAATGACAAACTTAGCCACCTTTATTTTTTATTCAATAGACAAACCTGTATTTTTCATTGGAATGGTTGTCAGTGTCCAACTGAGTGTAAGCGCCCTCCTTGGTATACACACTACACCAAGACTAAAGTGGAAAGGAAAGATATCAAGAAGGAGACAATGATATTTATAGTTGGAATTACAATGATATATATATTTGTTATATACTGTTGAATTTTTCTACCTGAGCAAAACCCAAGAAAAAGAGTTGGTTAGGGTTGAGATCAAGACCAGGCAGGATTTTTTCAGTCCCGTTTTCCTTTGTCCATCGCTGGTAAGCCTATGGAGGAATAGCAATCTATGTGATAAGAATAGACAAATGCCGGGTATGCATGGATGGATGG